CCTCACCAACCCAAACAGCTCCCCAAACCATCACGCTGAAATCACCATGTTTCACAGTTGGCTGCAATCTGTTGAGCCAAAACTCTTGGTGAGGCATTCTCCATACCCATATCCGAAAATTGAGCGAATCTTGAATCGTCTGAGAACAATATGGTCTTCCTAAAGTCCAGAGGCTTGGTCATCATATCACTTGCCCACTTCTTTCGTTTGACTATGTTAGCAGGTCTTAATAAGGGCTTCTGTTTAGCTGCTCTGCAACGATAACCTAATCTGTGGAGAATCCGTTGAACAGATTTCGGGCTCATCCCACCAACTTTGGTCACTTCTGCAGACGTTAATCTGGGATCCATTTCAATGCTCCTCTTGACAGCCCTTTTTTCCTTTCCGATGGACCAGGACGACCTGAACGCTGCTCAGATGTTTCCTTGCCGTGTTTCCTGAACTGCACGATGATTCTGTTGACTGTCGAAAGCGGGATTCCCAAATTCTGCGAAATTTGCCGCTGACTTATTCCACCACCTGCTTGACCAACTATCCTTCCTCTATAAAATCTGACAATTCGAGAGAACCTTGAGTTCTAGGCATTTTGCAGCACAAGATAATTAGTGTGCGGACCATTTTCATTTATATAGTGCCAGTGAACACAAATTAGTTAGCATAAATCAGTTAAATGGCGAAAAATTAGGTGCCTATTTACTTGTGACCACTCAGTGTATATGTGTGCATGAACAGGCTACACTTACAGAAGTTAATTAACAAATATAGATGATAAAATGTCAATAAACAGGTCTAAATAATGACAGATAACCACTGATTAGAAACGTTAATAAAAGAGGTGATAACGATAGAATAACTTATGAATGTTAATAAAGAGATGCAAATGATGACTAAACAGATTGCACTTAGGAAAGTTAATATAGAGATGTAAAGGATGATTGAACAGATTGCTCTTAGGAAAGTTAATAAAGAGATGTATATTACTAGAAACGTTTTGTAATAGTGAACTTGTCACAAGAAATTTACTGAAAGTAATTCAAAGGTTTCAGTAGATTTATAATCACAAAAACTTATAAAACTATCATTAAGAAAAATGTAACTAAAAGAATATTGTTCAATTTTGTCATATAACTTACAATAGTAAGCTCATAATTACATTTATTCAACACAATTTATTGTTATATATACGATTGTTGAAAGTGAAGCAACGAAAGGTTTAAAAAGGTGTAAATCCAGTATGTGCTGCTTAAATAACGTGCAAAAATATCCAAAAGAAAAGTGGCCACCAAGTAATGATCATTAATACAATTTTCGTTTATATATATATATTCAAATTATTCTGTTAGGCAAAAGTCACAAAGGGTATATTAAATTTACTTCAGAAGCATGAAAAGTCTAGCTCTCTGAAAAACATTCTTGGACTAAATCTCATGTTCATTTCCTGGGCAAGTTTTTTAGTTATCATTTAGATAATCACAGCTGTTAGACGGGATCATGATCATTTTATTCTTCATTACTTGAAGTTATACCAGCCATGGGAAATTAAACATCTCACAACCGACTGTTCGTTCAGTAGATATTATTATCTATTAGCAGCTAAGTATAATTTTTCACAGAATAAAAAAAAAGTTTAAACTTCATTTACAGATATTTTTCTCTGCGTGACTCCATCGCTTTCCGAAGGAATGTGTATTGGCAAGTAACCACGTGTTCTGTTCCAGTCTTTGGATCAAAGCGGAGGCTGCGAAACGTTGTTGAAGGATTGACATATCTCGCCAGGCTTGGTGCTGGAAATCCTCCAGGAGGCTACTGGCTACTGATTGTACAGACTGTAACGATGTATCAGTAATACAAGAAACTATGGTAATTATCATAATAAGGTTTCTATAAAGCAAGTGTTATTGAAAAACTGTGTTAGTATTAATGAACAACACCTTAAAACCATTGAAATAACCCAAAATATAGATTAAATTGAATTTAGACAAGAATTGGACTTTAAATTACGTATTTACTTCAGTGTGATTCGAATATGTTACATTAATGGCAGTTAAAATTGTATTATCGCTGATAGAATGTGTGGGAATAAGGCTAAAAAAAATTCTCTACCGATAAAACACGTTACCATGACTTCATTTAATGTTCATAATAAAAGGGTACGTGAAAAGGATTTGATCCTCTTTACTATGACGTAAACTCATTCAGAATTGAAATTAAATCTCTGAAACAAAATATATAAGGAAAACTTAAAGCATTATTTCTATGACGAACTTCACGAACATGGTATTAATATCCGTCTTGAGTTAGATGACATGTAACTAGACCTAGAACCACCGGTGTTTGTTGACAAAACATATGGATGGATAGAGTTTGTAAGATCTATTGACTGATTGGTCACTGGAATGAAACTAGGACTTGCGTCCCAACTAATTGAGATTCGATCACTATCTCTACTGACAGAAAAGGTAAGAAATACTTGAACATGTTTCTCTATTCACGGAAGAGGTAAGAGATATTTGAACATGTTTCTCTACTGACAGGAGAGGTAAGAGGTATTTAAACATGTTTTTCTACTGACAGGAGAGGTAAGAGGTATTTAAACATGTTTCTCTACTGACAAGAGAGGTAAGAGGTATTTAAACATGTCTTTTACTGACATAAGAGGTAAGAGTTATTTAAACATGTTTTTTACTGACATAAGAGGTAAAAGGTATTTAAACATGTTTCTCTACTGACAGAAGCGGTAAAAGGTATTTCAACATGTTTCTCTATTGACAGAAAATACAACATGAGTTCAATCTGAATCATTCAGTAAAAAAACACTTGAACCAATATCCAATCACACTTTTTCTATTGAGAATGCTCAAATACATGGACGCAACCTGTGTTTTTTTTTCTGACAGAGCAGGTGGCCGGAACTTGAATCTCAGTCCCTACTGATTAGGTGCGTAATATAGTTTTCCTCACACACTAGAAAATTACTTTTGTATATGCTACGATAACTGTATTACTTGAAATAAAGAACTGAATTGTAATAGGTTGTGTGCTGTTGCTCATTTTTTGGTTTTGTTTCTCCAGACTTTTGAGAATTCTAACTGCCCTGACAATACGAATAAAAATAAATAATCACTATCAAAAGGAGATCTGTTAATATAAGATAATACGACAAGACAATGCTGGAGTGACAATTTAAAATGATATTTAGTTAAAGCGAAGATTACTAAATTACTTTAAGTTCATTTAAAACGTTTTGAAAGGCTTTGTAGTCATGTTATTACCATATTTATAATTCATGTATGAATGTATTAAGCTTTAAAAATGTTGACTGTTTTCATTATATAAGGATCTCTTCTAGATGCAGGTTCTATGTTATATGCATTTTTTTCTAATACTTGTTTGTTTTGAATTTCGCGCAAAGCTACACGAGGGCTATCTGCGCTAGCCGTCCCTAATTTAGCAGTGTAAAGACTAGAGGGAAGGCAGCTAGTCATCACCACCCACCGCTAACTCTTGGGCTACACTTTTACCAACGAATAGTGGGATTGACCGTCACATTATAACGCCCTCACGGCTGAAAGGGCGAGCATGTTTGGTGTGACGGGGATTCGAACCCGCGACCCACAGATTACGAGCCGAGCGCCCTAACCACCTGGCCATGCCGGGCCTTTTCTAATACAAAGTAGGTTATGAAAGTAAACATTTATTTGTCCAATGAAATATATGTAATGGCTTCATTAAAAAGAAATATATGTCTTTCTCTTTTTCAAATTGAACTGTATTTCTTAAACAAACAGATGACTTATTTGCTCCCTATTTCCTTTTTAAGTAAAATTTTCACGTGTAATATTAAAAAATAGCTAATGCGTAACATCTCTGTCTTTTTCCTTAACAAAAATATTTTGTTAATTAAACAACTACTCACGTGTAGCATCTCTAGGATCACTCTGTATTTTTGTTTATCATCTACGATGTCTTGAACTCTGTCCTCCATTCTGGACACAAGCCGGTGAAGGATGGTTAGAGTCTGTGTGATATCGCCTCCGTAGAGAGGTTTGGTGCGGATAATAACCGCAAGTTCAGTTCCAATACTGACGACAGATTCTCCTCCGTCAATCTGAAACCGTTTTATTATTTTTTTTGGACCAAACGTAATTAACCAATGAACCGGTATTTTTCTAGCAAGTTCATATTTTTTTATTTTTTTTAGTCTTGCTTGTTTTGATTTTACTATTTTTCTCGAGTAACTTTTTTTAAATTCTCCTTCCCCCCCCCCCCCACCCACACACACAAAAAAAGATTTACGTTGCACATGGACAAAAGTGTTTCCGTGCATTTGAAAAAATAAAAATAAATGACATCAAAACCCTGGAAAATCTGAGAGCTTAAAATAATTAACAAAGGAAAATAGATGACTGATTTTGAATTAACATTCTAAGCTAAAATAGAGTAATATTTCAGTTTGCTACTGTAGAAGTTTATAATAAGCAAAGTTTAGTTATTGTTGCATTTTTTCGGAATAGGTGAAAAGTATTATCAAGAGGATAATGTAGCATAATATTTAGGCTTCGATAAAACATTTTTAATCGTTTAAAAATGTGACATACATTCCATACTTCTAAGAGATCCAATCTTCTTCATCCTCCAGAGATTTAATTAAGCCATTATGGATCAAAATATTCCATTTACGTCCAAATTAAACTGAATATTTTGTATACGTATCTCCCACTTTACCTACAATAAATAATTTTTAAGAAAGGATTTTTTTATACATGTTTGGTGCTCTATATCATTCCATGGCAGACTTTTTATTGTTCTTGTGATGTTCAAAGTAGTAGTATTAATTCCTGAAGTGTTGTATTTATACCTTTTTAAGTTTCTGTCGGTTTACATATTGAATGGCAAATGGAATATTAATATTGCACATAACAAACAATTTAGGTATGAGTAAATATACAAGAGTGAAACATAATTTTCGTCTCTTTTGGATTTATTCTTCTCTTTATTATTTTTGTGTGGATAAAAACTTTCATAACTGCTCTTTGGTTTTACCTTAAAAACTGTAAGATACTCAACCACAGCTTAAATTTCCTAAAAATTCGAAAACATAAATGTAAGTGAGAAAAAATTATTACATATATATGAATTACAATACCAAAATATAACATAATCTAACAATAACTAACAATTCTCCGTCTTAGTAACTGCACAATGAAATTTCCTTAAAACGTTTCTCGGAATTACATTTTTATTTGTTTAGTTGTGACGTTCCCAGAAAGCGAACCAGATAAAATATAGTTAATAAATTAAATCACCACTCGTTTGTTTTATTGGATACATTTCTTCGTGTTTGAGATTTGGATGGTAAGTTTTTTCATTTTAATCCTAGTAACTTGAACCAAGACATTCTGCTCCTTTGTGGCTCAGCATCAACTCTAAAATTGAGGGTTCGATCCCCGTGATGGGCACAACTCTAATAGTTCATTGTGCAGCTTCCTGTTTATGACAAACAAATAAATTTGGGCATCTTATATTTTATTATACTGTTTTTACAGTTATGTGAATTTTATTATATAGCAGCTGAAATGTCAATTTTAGGAGAAACGCTTTATTAATCACCTTCAGTGGTCCTGGATTGTTAATTTATGTTTTACTTCTCTTTTCCTATTTTTCTGTTACATTAGGAAAAACTATCTTTCCACATCTGCCTGCAGAGGGTAGTTTCAAATGTCAGACATTTTTATTATTAATTTAGTTCTATTTTGAGTTATAATTTCGTTTCACAAGTGAAGATTGTGAATAGAGGTTAAATCTCACCCGCTGTTTAAGTCCTACACCCTAAGATATCTCTTTTACTGCAATTCATTTTACCTTTACCATACCGTAATTTGCACCTTAGTTTACTTGTTTATCCTTTATGCGTGACGCCTTTTTTAGCTGGTTGTCTGTCTTTTTCTAAACTCGAATTTAGTGTCGATTGGCAAATACTATATTTGTTTGTTTTCAATCAACACTACATTCGAGTTGACTACTTGTTACGAGTTAAAACTTATATATATATATATATATTTATTTATTTATGCACTCGATTTGTAGATGCTTTTCAAACACTTTATTTTCGTAAATCTTGGTTTTTAAGCTTAGCAAACCTCCAGTACATCAACCTTCAGTAGAAAAGACAGTAATAAATTTCCAAAACTATTTGTTCTGTATGCTATAGTCGATGTAAAACTAATACAAGATCTAGCTGCAATCACATTTAGGCAATAAATCCATTAAATCCAGCAAGAATAGTTTGACTCCTTTGTGGAAGAGAGATCTACACAAAAAAATAGTGAAAGTTCTTATTTAGAATACTTACTCTCCCTTCTAGACTCTCTGCCCAGGGTGACTGACACTCACTTAGATCAGGTGAGGTACCGCTCCAGTATACTGTGCTAACTGCGTCCACACAAAACCATTTGGCTCGACCTGGTTTACAGGAATTATAAACGTAGAATATGATCAATTATTTTATTGGAGTGTTATAAAACTTAAATGATAAACAAAGTTTTGCACTGAAGACTTTCGTTACAATGAATAATCCCAGAACAACCTGTTTTGACTTTACTTTTTTAAGAAATTAAAAGTGGTTGACATTGCCGCTTTGATCAATTTTATTTTGTTCATGCGTAGAAACAGAAGAAGGTAAACTTTGAATAATATTTTCCATTCTAAATAATTCAAAGGATCTGAACCCAGCCAAAATAACTATCCTCGTACTATTAAACTAGAAGCAGCAGTCAGCAGCTTGCAATATGAAAGTAACACAAATACGACCAAGCACCTAGTGTTGTATCCTCTCTATTTTTCTCTAACATCAATAAAGAAAAGGGATGAATCCCGTCTCATCAGGCGACATCACATGATTCTCGTCAATTACTGTCCACAGTTAGTGCTTTAAACACCACCAAAGTCATGACTTTTCATTTGCATCTGAGATAAGCTATCTCTTAGATTGATTCTATACTAACTTATGTTAGTTCTTTCAACTGTTTTTACAGTCCAGATTTTCGAATCCGGACAAACTTTGCGTAGTCAGTTGGAACACAGTCTACGATTATTAAGGTTTACAAACTTTTCCAAACTTCATTTCTCTTGGAGAGTCACCAGAAGCTGGTAGTTGCAGTTTGTATTAGAAGCAGCTTGCTACTGTTGATAAACCTTATTAAAATGACAGATGTCTTTAAAAGCCAGACGAGAACCTATTATCATCCTCCTTTAACAGTCGGAGAGATCTTTGTTTTTATTTATATACTTGGAAACCAATGTTTGATTACATATCTTCATATAAAATATTAATTTCTCTAACACACGCCCCCCAGTAGCACAGCGATATGTCTGCGGACTTACAACGCTAGAATCCGGGTTTTGATACCCGTGGTGGGCAGAGCACAGATAGCCCATTGTGTAGCTTTGTGCTTAGCTTCAAAAACAAACAAACACACTCTAACACATCACATATTAGTCTATTTCACGTATATTCTGGTGACCCTATGCCAAAATATAACATGCCCCTAAACAAATCATAAAAGAATTTCTGTTCTGCTGTTTTAAGTTCTTACGAACCCCCTCTAACGTGGACGGGAGTTATGCCTTTCTGCGACTTTGCATAATCTCGAAATAATGCATTTGCAGATACATCATCAACAAAACCAGTCAAAATATTTTTGAGGGTGGGTTCTGCAGCAAATGTGTTTCTTCCAGGAGGTATGAAAGGATATACATCTGTTATCGGTGTCCTTTGACGTTTTTGTGGTTCTCATCTCTAAGTGTAGGTTGCTCGTACATCGGTGTGTTCCTATGGCTTCTTGCATCACATTGGTCATTTCAGCACATACCGGCATGGACAGGAGCCAGCTGGCACGATGTGACTCGGTCATTCCTCTTGCACGTAGTAATCTCCTAGTTGTTTTCACACTTCGCATCAGAGTCTGCTCAATAGTTAAGTCAGATGATAGGCCAGCCAGTATCTGTTGCTACGTCAAACAACGTGGTGTCCGTTCTTGATGCTTTTGTGATCATCAGGATGGGTCTTTTCAAGTTGGTTCATCAGTTGCAGGTAGAGATAAATAGATTTTATGTAAAGGTTGTGTCCAGCAGCGGCTAAATATGATAGCATCTCTTGTACAGCAGCCAAATGCAAAAGCTAGTTTCCTGTTCTCTCTGCTTTCAGGAAACGTTTCACTATGTCCACCAATGACATGTACTGAAGCTACAGTTTACTGGTTTTACCAGTGAATGCAAGTTTTCTGTCATGTAACTTCCTGCTGAATTTGACAAGGCAATCGTTGTTCTTGAGAAATGTTAGTGACAGCTCATCCTGCAATATTTTGTCGTGCAAACCAGTGGTTGATTCTATATCTTCCCTGGCCTTGACAAGGTTCTTCACCACACATTGGAAATCACATGGGAGTTCTCGTTCAAGTCTGGCACCCAGTCCGAGCTCATTGCTTTGAATATGTTGATGAAGAAGAAGAAGAGAGAGATTAATCAGTAACTACAAACCTTACATGTCAAGCTATATAAATGGTAAAAAAAAAAATGTTTATAGCCGAGGGTTAAATTATTATTTTGGTAAAATGAATTGATAGAAATGAGTATAACTTGTAGATATTACTTATAAGTGTTCTCATTATCAGTCTCAAAGTAACTTAATTCTTCTGTAATTACTTTTTTGGGCTCTAGGCTAATATGAAAGTAAATGAAATATATAAGTGTGTGGATATGCATGAAGAGACTCCTTAACGTGGCAGTCACTGTATGAATAACAAATGGATCTAAATGTTAGGAGGAAATTATGTAGAATACATAAGACAGAAATGTAATATTGTATCATGGTTTGTGTTTTTCTACTTGATATTAAATGCCGATCAGAACAAGCTAGCAACTTGGATAAAAAATAACCACCAATTCGGTAATGAATATAGCTAATTAGATATACTCTTCTTACATTCTTACCACGGGCGCCCGCAGAAAAAAAAATAGGGGTCAAGTAACCCAAGTTTAAGAAAATTATGAAATCGATACAAATACCTTATGATTTTCCAAGAAGAATAATTTTGCATATCTAGTTTTTTTTTCTTTTTGGTTCTTATCTAATGAAGTTAGGGGTCATGTTGTTAACGATATTTTCAGATGTAAGCCCAGTACTATTTTACTTTCTCAAGACTCAGCCAGTATAGTAGAGTTAGATTAGTCCTAAAACCATATATTAAGCTAGCACTACAAAATAACTTCAACAATAAAAGTATAATAATAATGAAGAACAATCAAAATAAATATATTAAACATTCTGAACAATTCTGTTACTTCAAGTAACATTAAAGAGAGAATAGAGTGTAATATTTCGAGTTGAGACTGTGATGTTTACAACTTAAGAAAGGTTACTAATTTCTGTGAATATTTTTGTGTTTCCATACTGTACGTTTACAAGGAAGCAATGTGATATGATTTTTTTAATTTCCAGGCCTGTAGCTTTTAAAACTTAGAAAAACAGAATGGCATGTTTATATATTTTCTGTTTTTTTTTTCAAGTTCTGAAAAATCAACTTTTTTAAGTTCGTTGTGGTAACCAGAAACTATAATACACAGGACTAGATCATCATAGTTCCTATTTTGAAGTTTGTTGTTCTTTCTGGAGGAGTTATTTACTCTGTGATTTCAGCAGAGCAAAATGATTTGTTTCCATCCTATTTTGACAATTGTCCTGTTCGTTCTCCACTATTATACACGTTAGTAACAGCAAATTTTGTGTTTCTTATCCTCCAGTAAATCCACCAGTAACATTTACACTCTAAATTTTGTGCCTCATATCCTTCAGTAAATTTGCACTTTAAATATATTTTCTACTTGTTATTTGCCAGTAAGTTCAGTAACAACCACACTGTAGATTTCCTGCTTAGCATCAACCTGTAAATATAACAGTGGCACTTATAATTAAATATTTTGCTTGGTATCTGCTACTAAACACACCCATAACATGTAAACTGTACATTTTTTGCTTGCTTCCTACTAATTAACACAACTATAATATTTACATTGAAATTTATATGAAGTTGGATCGGAGGGTTCCCATTGGATATTTCAGCTTTCACTTCACGAATGATAAAGCGTTGTTTCAAACTGGTTTGAAGACTTCTTTGAAATGTAGCATTTTTTAATTCTAAGTCGTTTAATAATTTCGCCAAAAGAAAAGTAAATGTTATGTTCCTTCAATTATTAGCTAATCGTGGTGATCGGAAACTCGCCATGAACTAAACATGTACAGACGCTAAACACCTGTGGCGCCATTACACTATTAACATGTGCAAATCCGTAAGCTCCACTCTATGTACCCAGTATAAAACAAAGTTTATTAGTTATAATAAGTTTTACTATACAAAAATCTTATTATAAGCTTTATAAAAAAGGGTTAAACCTATTGAAATTTAAAATAAGTTTGGCGAGTTTGAGTTTCCTAGAATTATGCATATAAATGACAAAAATCATACTTTTACAACACTTCTGAAACATAGCATTATCTATAAAAATTTAAAAACGACGGTACCATTACTGATAAAGCCTATTTTTCATGATTTGGTTTTAAGTTATGATAAATTTTTCCCACTACAAGCAGAAATAAGTTTCTTCGTAAAAAATTAAAACAATTGTAATATTTCATAACTACCGAACGTCTGAAACAAATATTAATGTCCAATTCCAAAAACATTACAGTCTTTCCTACCAATAGACCCCCTGGGACAAGGTTCAATGGCATCCTGCCCTCCCCTCGTCCAACTCCACGATATGTTTCTGGACACGGTTGGTGGACAAGAGTTCAGACTTGGATCTGTTGTTTCCACTGATCTTGAAGGGTTGTACATGCCTTCACGATCTGTGGAAAATTATCGATATAAATTGGTCACAATAATACACAGAAACATCTTAGATAACGCAAGTAACATCATTTTTATGATACTCAAGTTGTACTGGCAGCAAGATGGAAAGAAATTAGAGACTATTCAAACTTAATGACTGAATAAAATAATGACTGTGAATATCATAAAGTTTGTTTGATACTATCATAGAACTTTATTCACTTAGGATCACCCTATAATAACGACTAAATGAAAAACAGTCACGCCTGAATAAACCCCTTTACGAAGAACTTTACTTCTAAAGGGATTTTACCTAAACACAAGTTTACTTTTCTCATAATTTAGGAAGTGTTCAATTTAAACTACACCGAATTCTCTGTTGAGTCATCTTTATGTTAATATTTTTATCTTTAACGTTTTATCTGCCTATTGTGGTTATCGAACCACAAATGTTAGCATTACAATTACTTTATAATTGAATTGATTTCATCATTTAATATTTCATAGTCTATTAGCATTGGTATAGATCATCACCTGTCAAAAGCAATAGAAATATGCTTAAGATATATTGATAAGTAATAAGTAAGTAAACTGCCAATTAGCAGCTTAAATCTAAGCCTTCAGACATCTTTAAATATTTGGTTACTTATATATCACTTTTTTTTTTCTCACAAGTAATTACTTTTAGTATTTACGTTATAATGGTGGTTTTGGAAAACAAAAACAATATACCCTCTTCCCATACGTTTTATTGGATTTTTTCCGCAGTATTCGATGGTAAATACGACTAAAAAATGTTGCGGGTCGACTTTGATTACTGTTGTTTTACCATGAAAAATGTTGAGCACATTACCGTTATCTGGATAAATATCCAAAGGTGATTTTGAAGAGGATTCTGAACCTGATACTGATGGAGGTGATGCTCCCATCCCTGTGGACGCTGTCGTAGATATAGATTTAAAAGATGGTGTGTTTTCCGTTGACGACGTTGTAGATGAATGAAACAAAGGAATAACAGGCCGAAAACTGTGAGTTACTGGTATGATTATTGGTGGTCGATTTGCTATTGTAGTTGAAGTAGTAGTTGAAGTAGTTGTTGTCGAGACAGTTGTTGATTCTAAAAGACGGAAATAGTGTAAGTATTATTAATTTACAGAATTTTTAACTGATCAACCATTAGGATCTGCATTGCTACCACATTTACACTCTATTGTCAGTGTAGCGTTTCAATGCTTATTATTCAGCCACAAATGATAACAGGACTCCATTATTAAGTATCAGTATCGCCCAAGTGCCTCTACTCTAGTACTTTCGACAATCTATCGTATACAAGGCCATTATAAAGAAAACCCTCAAACTTAAAATGATTATATCTGAAAAAGTAATTATTCAGGGTAACCTTTTTTCACTAGAGGTACATTAAGAAACATACGTTTTATTCAGAAAAGTTTGGGCATATTACATAAGTTTCAAAAGCTGTCACAGAAAGTGTTCAATACGCTCCCTGTCATTCACACTCAGCATATCTAAATTTGACTACTGCAAGCATCATCTGTTATGGACAGCGTTCATTGATTCTCGCAATATTCTGTACACAGACATACATTTTATTCAAATCACCAATCTCGTATTCTTGAAGAGAGAGAGAAGAAAAAAGAAGAGTAAAATCAATGCTGACTTGAAAAATAAAAATAAGATAAAAACGATCTGAATATGTAGGATAATATGGCCGTGAAGGACGTACCATATTCTGACATCCCAAAATATAACTTATAACTTTTAGCGAACCTGTTGGGAAACTATACCTCCAGGGCAGGTAGCTTTTAAAACATTTAATTTTGAATATAGAGTTTTCTTTATAATTAATCTGCAATACACGGGAGTGCAATCCGAAGCTAAGTTGGTAAATCTAAATGAAACATAGTCGCCCAGAATATACGACCACCACTTGTTATATCATATCACATAGTAGTTTTCAGACACAAATATTACAAAAAATCACGCATTTCTTATTGTTACAATTCATCCTAATTACAATCCTATTTAGCGTTATGTTGAATTCTCTTATAAACGTAGTGTAACGTATAACCAGTATTATAAAAGGCAGTGTGAAATTAAATATTGCAGAAATTTAAATAGATCAACAAGCAAACAAACAAAGGCAAAAAAACTTTATATGTACATATATTTCAGACAACTAGTTATTTTTATAAATAATTTGCTTCAGTTTCAGAATTTTAAAACTAACCAAGAGAAAAAAATTAAAAAGCGGCAAATGACTATTATTCTGAACCTGAATCAATAACTTTGGCCACAACCCTCGACCCAGAGGCTATCAAGTGTTACACTTTAATGTAAAATATAAGCTTCCTTACCCAAAACATTGAAAAAAAACCCAAGAAAATCTCTACCAGACTATGATAATATGCTGAATATTATTCAGTGCTATAGCATATCATAAAGTATATGAAAAGCGTACTGTCATTGACAAAATGATTAATAGCGACTGTTCAAGAACTGAATCTCCAGGGTCTTAAAGGTTTGCGTATCACCCTTACGTTTGACGCTCTAATTCCCTGTAACTTAAGCGGCGTTTCATCCTTAGGTTCCACTTTGTGGCTTAGTAAGTCAGTCAAGCAGATATAGTATGATGGTTATCTGATGGTTCAAACACGTGTTTCCTGCTTAAACTACAATAGTATTGTTTCACTCTTCGCGACCCTAATCCTTTAACAACATCTCAAAATCGATTAAATAAAATGCTTAAACTTCACTCCTTTAGGGTGCTTAAAGTCTGATAAGGTCTCCACCAGCAGAAGCGAAACAAAAGAAACGATAAATTGGATCAATAGTTAGTCTACGAAAAATGCCCTTGACTCACTTGCTTAATTAACTCCCATTTCTGTTCGTTCAATCTCTCTGATTCAGGCTAATTAGCATATAACTACAACAAGATGAATTCGACAAGTTTGGAGAGTATTTTATTTTGTCTTTCACACTGCTTAGCTAAACGTTACTTAATGATTTTCTTTGAATTTGTTATTTTACTTTGTTATTTTGATACTTCACAAAACTGCACTTTTTAAAGGTTTATTTTTCTTTAAACGTATAAGATAGAGAAATGCCTCTAAACTCAGGAACAAGCTAATATTATAAAGAAATAGTAATACAAAGTGCTTCTGATCTTCTAAATTTCAACTTGTCGTTCCATCATTTTGCATGATGATGTACAGAAGGTAATAAAAATTCAATTGCTACTCAATAATTTCGACAAACTTCACATTGAATTATGTGAAAGAATTGCATATAAAATTACTTTAGAAATATGAAATTTCTAAATCTTAAAATGTTGTTAATTTCGTGATTTTGTTATAATTTTGTAACATAGAAATACAAGTATATATACTATTGAACAGTTTCAGAATACTATGTAAAGTAAGACAAGAACGTAATGCGTAATCAAACAAAAGGACTTGCTGCCAAACTTTAATGCCTATTTTGTAACTCGACAAATTACTTAACTGTCTTATACTTCATTCTTCGGCGGTTTAGTTATTGCCAAAATGGCGAAAGTTAATTCACATATCAAGTTTCGATTAATTATATAATTTCTTACTGTAAAGAACCGAATTAATTTTATAAGATGAACACACGTTAAAGTAAAACAGGCATAGATTAATTCAAAGATTACATCTCATTTACTTACGATCCTTATAGAATATTATTATCTTGTTTTCAAATCAGTAGGGCTAAGGAGTTAATTTTTAACTGTTTTCTACGAGGTTTTCAGACTTTATAAGTTGACTCGCAATATCTCACCTGCTATACATTTGTAGTGGGCTTCTAAATACTTCCTTGTTCTTGGACAAGGATCACCAAAGATAGTGCTGGATGCTGGGACAACGCAAGCTTGTTTCATCCCACAACTGTAGACACAAAAATAAATTGTAATTTATATCAAGAATTTGAGAAAACAAATACTGATATAATGACAACATTCATGGGTTTGTAAACAAACTTTTTCATATATATATTCCAACAGCAGTGATGTTGCAAAATCAAGATCAACATTGCTCAACAAGCTAGTTGATCAATACCAGAGGAAATAGTAAAAATGAAAGTACATTTGTTTGTTTTCTGTTAATCACACTGAACTATGTAAGCTGTACCCACTACGGATATCGAAACCAGGTTTATATCATTATCAGCTTTTAGAATTGCGAATGAGCCAATGAAGGGCATGGCAGTGCATAAAACCTAACAAAAACAGAAGGTATATCCAGGAAAGATGAAGTAATTGAAAGTATATTACCTATGATAACCACATGTATGACCTGGATTCGGAAGTAAATTGGAAGTTATTCGAAATACATTACGATTTCTTTAATTTAACAACAAAATGAAATCAACGAAGAAATGTATTTGATCTGCAATTCTATGTCAATCTTTAACTATTCATCCATATTCTTCCGCTTAATAATATTACCAATCTCAGTTACGATCGTCATAAAATCGAGATCTCAGCTTTACTATACGACGGTGAACTAGTCTGTAAGTGGGAAACTTGGGATGTGATATAAAATGGTAAACTCATCTCTTATATATATTGTTTTATTACTCTTCTAATGTGAAAGCAATAACAAATGCTGAACACATCTTCCTCTGTTACAATAAATCATTAGTTTAATAAAACTTTGAATAATATAGATTGAATGGAATTGTGTGATAGGTTAATTCTTCATTGCTTTATTTATTTCGTTATCATGCAGCAGTATTGTTCAATACATTAGATAGTTCAGGCAGCAATAACCCAGTGTTATTTAAGTGAGGGTTTGACACAGTGCTGAATCCCAGTTCGATCATCCTAGCTTGGTTTAGTTATTTAGAGTTATTTTTATAATCATGAATCTTTTTATTATTTTCGAATATTTTATTAATGTTAGACCTTTCTGAGCTTATGGAATTATTTGATTATGTTGTAATTATTGGTTGACCTTTAATAATTTTTATAGAACGTTTTATTACGAACGTTTTCGATTATTGATACTGTATACAGTTCGCAAGTTGCTGCAAGTAAGCTTGAAGTAAACTCATTAAATATTCCATGTCTCAATACTACTATACAAAATAGCATGGTAAGAATTTCAATATTTATATTATCCGAACATTTTCATAATAATAATAATAAAAAAACACATCATATTCCATTTTGTCAGTTTATACATTTGAATTCTTATTTTATTTAATGAGTTATGAAATTTCATTTGTTAATAAAAAATGCTTTGATATTCTTTTAAGCAATGTTTTTATGATTTAGAAATTCTAATCTTTTGGTTCTTCTTGAAGAATAGAGCACAGGCTCAAAGAGGATGTTAAATACTTACTGTCAAAGCTTACTACATTATCAAGAACAAGCTTATTTAATTCTTGTTACTCGATGATACGCTGCTGTCCATTAAACTAACTATGAATTAAATCCTATTTAGAAGAGAGAAACGAAGTCTTCAGTTCTAAGAGTTCTTATCTTCGGTGTGTGATAAACTACAAATTCCTACAAAAATACGTGATCGAGAGCTATTTTCGATGATTCTTATTATACGATTTGTAAGTTGTTACATTTTAAAACAGAATGATATAATAAGAAATTCGCTAATGTAAACTGCTGTAATTATATGATAATACCAATAATTAAAACACTTTCAAGTTTAACGACATTCTTAAATTATAAACTAATCTAACTAAAGTACATGCGTGCATCTGTTTGTATATGTTCCTGGGTTTGTAAATGCGACGTAAAGTGTTGATAAAAGATTGATAATCGTGAAACATAGTAGTATATGTCCAGTTTTATGATTAAAAAAAAATGATTAATAATTTTAAATTAAGTACATACCCTGCAAGTAAAACTTAAAAGGTTTCAAGTATTTTTAACAGAATTAAATTTAGTGAAGATAAAAACACAATTTTAAAGTCACTGCTCTATTAAATAGGTTTTAGAAGTGTAGGACAAAATTAAAAACTAAAATAAACAGTTTGAGTTTTAAGAAATTCTTGCCTAAAGTTAAAATCCAATTTATCACAGAAACTTTTTTATGTTACTGACAGAAGTAGTTAGAAACTCATTATTTTTGTCATCTCCAGATTTTAGTCAGAAGTCTTTCATTAATTTAAGTAGCTTGTTGTCAACTGCAAATTAAGTATTTTTCATGTTCAGGGCAATGCAATACAGAAAATTGGGGGAAAAAAATGGGTTAAGGAAACACGTAAAGGTGGATGTATGATGAAATTTGACGTATTGATTTATTACGCGCCGAAAGTTCAGAGATTACCAAAACATCCTGCAATAACAGGCTGTAGCGGTATTTGTATATTTGTGAAGTTATCTGATTTCATAGCAGTAGGTGATTTTTTTTAATATTTCTTTCATGTAAATATTCCTTATAATCAGCGAGTTGAAGTAAACAAAGCAAGTAAATTTAAAGCCAGCAACAGTGTTTCTAAAAAAACATTACTGATTTACGTTGAATATATTTCTCTAAACGTATCTTCTCAGTTAGGACTTCATTATTAATAAGATATATTTACCAGTCACCTATCATCATCGTCAGTATATTAAATTTATACACTATAAGGAAAACGAGAATTGGGATTATAACAAACACGACTCTTGTTTTTATGAGATTGAGATTTGACCCTTTTAAAGGTGTCAGTTTAGGATAAATAAAAGCTCACATTCCTGTCATCTATTTAAAGATGTGAATTTATAAACACAATGGAATAATGTAAGGGATATGTGAAAATCGAAGAACAACTGTTAACAGAACCAATATATACATTTACGGTAACACCTCACTTGTGTGAAATATGATTTCTTAAAATATTATTATTTACTATTTTTAGTTTTGACGTGAAACCACTATTTCTGATCAAGTTTGTGAATTCCCACTCTTTTAATATGGCATAGAAAAACAGTTTGAAGCATATAAGAAATAAATGTAGTGATTTTTAATAAACTTAGAAATTCGCATTTATATTGGATTTTTTTCCATTGCAAAAAGACCTCGGACTGTCCTGACGATAGACTAATATAAATCTGAGTAGGTTAATAATTACTATGTGTGATTTCCACAAATTTCAGCCGTTTAAATAGGTAAAAGTCACGTTGAAGATCTTTTGAATGCTTAACTTCTTTAGCTTTTAATAATGATGGGTTTAGGAGTTAACTTTTAGAAGTTTTATCTTAATCCTAGGACTCTTCAGATAAAAAGCTGAAATTCCAACTCAAAAAAATACATAATTTTTTATTTTTCCGAGCAATTATTTAATTTTAGTACTTTAAATATGGGTTTTATTTTATAATGATGAAATTCAACGAAGCAAAACATTAAAGGAACCCAGAATAGCAATCGATCAACGTTGACTCTAGTCTCTAGTTGTAGTAGAACCACACGAGTACCGCCATCTTTGACAAATCTGCACTTGTTATTTATGTTTTCGAGTTTACTCAGAACTGCAGTCATTCTCGAAACAAGAAAAAACTTTAATCCATTACACGAGCTGTATCTGTTGAACATGTTCGTGCAGCTTGGATCCAGCAACAACTACTGTAATGAAAGTAAACACCTCTCCATCAAAACTTACTTCAAGTGCATTGTAAACTTTTTTATGATGGTGAATCATACATGTGTACAAAACACGAACCAACCTATGAAATATTTTAACTCTTTCAAAGATAATGAACATTAATAAATATGGATAAGTTTTGTTTTTTATTCTCCACTTTAAAATTATTGCACCATACACGATGATTAAGATAGTTGCGGATTTAATTAAAATATTTCACTGTCCTTTTTATCGGCCATTGCGTCGGATAAACCACTTCTAATGCAAGTCTTCATAATGGTGAATAGTGTTTACAGAGTAGAACAGCCCTGTCTAATGGTCACATATTAAAAAGAGTGTTGCAGGAATTTTGTGGTTAACCTTGAATGTTCCTTTGAACTTGAATACAGCAAAGTCCTGCTACACAGACAATGTAAAACAAGTTTCGTTAGCTAATAGGTAAGACACCCTGGATATCTGTTTGTCTAATTTTTCTAAAATCCAGTTTTGCTGATCCTTCTCTTAAGGAATAAATATATCAAGTTAATTCAGTAAATGTAAATCTCTTTCTTCTGGAAGTGAGATTCATTTATTCATATGTAGTAAGTACATACCTTAAATAAAACATCACTTTACACAAATGTCAGTGAGTTAAAACTATCGGTTACGAGCACAACAGCACTAAAATCAATAAAGCTTAAGGATGATTAAATGTAGTAATGATTTAAAGTATAAATTTGAATGGTATAAGTTCAGCAATACTTTGGATACATACAACTAGTAATTTATAGATGCAACAATGCTGAAAAAAGCATGTAACTAATAGCTTATAAATGTATATTTTATAAAAACGCAAAAGAGGCTTAAAATATACGACTCGTGTGTTGTTAGTTTACAATATTTTGAAATTATTCAACGAACGGGCTATGGATATAAGAAGAGCTTAAAAGTTCAGGAATTTGTGGTTATAAGGTCGTGCGTTTTTAGCATATTGATGTGTTTAACATGTAGAAAAAAGAATTAATACGTTATAAAGATAACAATGTAATCTTATAATCATAAGTGTATCCATTAGTGTAGTAATCCTGTAAAATTACATACTTACATAATCGTTATAAAACTGGGACATTGCAGAATTAATCCGTTATAAAGATAACAATGTGATCTTATGATCATAAGTGTATCCATTAGTGTAGTAATCCTGTAAAATTACATACTTATATAATCGTTATAAAATTGGGACATTGCAGAATTAATCCGTTATAAAGATAACAATGTGATCTTATGATCATAAGTGTATCCATTAGTGTAGTAATCCTGTAAA